TTACACTACCGGTCTGGGCCCTCATCCTCATAAATAAACTGACCCCTCGGGAGAAGGACCGTCACATCCGGCGTACTTTTGAACCTTTGCATTACTGTCAAGCTCTCTGTTTCCTATCTATATCAGACGCCAGTTTCCCCTACAAAGTGTGTTTGTGTGTGGTCGGGTGGAGGGGTTCGAATCTTGCCGTGGATGGGGACACATTATCTTTATCAAGATACTCGTATGCACAAGCCAGTAGATATAATTCACACTGTAGTAAAACAAGGCGTCTACTAAAATAAATGTTTAAATAATATATTTGTGTATGCGTGTTTGTATTCTCTCTACATCTATCTATCTATCTATCTATCTATCTATCCTATCTATCTATCTATCTATCTATCTATCTCAGTTCAATCCATATCTAATATATCTATCTATTTATCATCTATCTAGCCTAAATCAAAAAGTTGATAAACTCCGATACGATGCATCAATATTCATTTACAAAATAAACGTCATCAAAATTTTAAATCCTTAGCTAAAAAAAAACATTTAAGATTCTATATATATATATATATATATATATATATATATATATATATATATATATATATATATATATATATATATATATATATATATATATATTATCTATTTTTATCCCGACATAGTCTCTTTCCACGCTCACAATTTAGTGTTTAGTTGCATAGATCCAACATTATACAAATTATCTTAATTTATGGATTTTGATACACACACACACATTTACACACACACAACATCACATATATATATATATATATATATATATATATATATATATATATATATATACAAGCAAATTCAATTGAAAAATCTATTTTACACCTTTTTTTTCATCCATCATGCTTAGTACTGTTCCATTTTTGCTTTCAATTTACAAAGATGGATTTATCGATTTTTTTCTTACTTTCAATGAATGAAATATCTAACTTTTTGTTTACTCACCCACTCATCCCATCCGCTAACAACGAACACAAGATTCTGCGTAATGGTGCCCAGTCATTCATCTCATTCCTTTTGTCTTTTAGGATTCTCTCAAATACAGAAAGGGCTTTTGTCACTTTGTCTCCAATCAAAAAAAAAATCTTATTTTCTAGTATTAAGATAAATAATGCTTTTATTATTTATTTATTTATCTTTATTTATTCTTCTGGCCACTGTGCAATGCAAAATAAGATTGAACAGCAGTCCTAAGGTACACAAAACACACATTGACACGCATTTTTTAAGCATTGAATGAAGAAAAAAATACTTAATTTTTACGTTGAAACTTGTCAAAGAAAAATTAGTGTCCATTTTACCATTATATTCAAATTATATTTTTCTGTCAGTTCTTGGTTTAAAAAATAAATTAATCAACCATTAGCAAAAAACATTTACATGTTGTTTGTACAGTGACCCCCCCAACCCGTATTTGCAGAAAAGTTTGATTTTTCAAAACCGGCCGCCAATAGTTAGAATCCGCGACTAATTGAAACCCCCACCCTAAAAAACGATTAATTGCAGAGTAAGTATTTTGATTTTTTTTAAAAATATGTTCTGAAATTCCATCCTAAGCAACTTTATCCAACATTTCAGACCCTTTTAAAAACTTGTAGAAATTTTGAAAAATAATATTGGTGAAAAAATTATAATAAATTTTCTTTCATACGTGAACAATAACTGTTTTTTGTTACGCATAGATCGAAACAACCATTGAAAATACTGTATAAAATATGTGTAACATGACATAAAATATAAAATTTAAACATTTCTTAAAAACCGGACTGTGATGATGTCCCCAGTCTTAGCATAAGCCACTTTTAAGATCCCAGCCGCAGCCTGTAACGAAAAACAAAGCCCACGCACGTTTTTACGTTTGTTTTTTTTTTACAATGAGGATGTACAAATCTGCCAATTTTTACCAAAAAAATGAACTGTTATATGTTTTAATTCACTTAAATAAGAAAAAAATAATACATTAATATTTAAAATATTTCTATCGAAAAAATACGCTTATAAAAGGTAGTTCTCAAACTCTTTAATTTGTTTTATGTTCTTCAGAAAAAACACGCGAATATTCAGGGTTTCCGCAAATAACAAGTACATATGTTCTGGATTCAAAATCCGCAGATGTGAATATCAGCAACGGTCCTGAAAAAAGAATAGTCAGGGGCTCCTTAATACGTTGAAACTTGTCAGTGTTGGTAGCGTTCATTTTACTCAAAGCCCAAGTCTAAAATCTGCCCCTCAAGCGCTTGTCCAAGAACTAAAACTTCGCTGAGAGGGTAACATTTTTAAATTTTAATCATTTTCACCTAAGCATCAGCAATAAAATTGGCATTAAACGTTATAAATGTTAGAGAATATGAGAAGAAAAAAAGAAGCTATTAAGGAAAGAAGATAATAAATGAACAAGTATTAAGAAGACAAATGATAACGATTGACATTGTATTTAAATTTTGGAAGACTGCGAAGCAATAAACCGGAAGAGAGTTCCACAAGTGAGAAGTGCGATAGAAGATTTTTTTTTTTTTGCCTAGAACTTACGGTTTCATCTCGCCATTTCAATTATAAAATAATATCACCCTGTCGCCAATCTAGTAGTGCGCTTAAATTCATAAAGTCTTGATAAAATAGAGGAAAGTTTCTGAGTACAATTACCATGAAAGTATTTATAGAAAAGGCAGAGGGAAGCTACGTTACATAACTGGGAAAAGGAATAAAACCGAGATGCCAATACTTTTAGAGACAATAGAAATAAACAGTAAAGATAACCCGTACCCAAAAAAAATGTTATGTATGCACAACAACAACAACAACAATTTAACTAATAATAACAATCATAACCAGGACAATAATAATAACAATAATGATATCAATCATATAATAATCTAAAATATTGTGTCAATAAAATGCAGATTCTAATAATAATAATAATAAGTTATTGATCATCTTGTATCAGGTTGTACGATGTTGGCACCCACTGAATATAAAACCCGACATGACAGAGTGGGCCAATATCTGCACTGGAAAATCTGCAACTTCTACGGGAAGGAAACTGAAAGAAACTGGTATGAACACCACACAGACCCGGTTACGGAGATAGGACCTGTTACAATTCTATGGGACTACACAATACACACTGACAGAACAATCAAAACCAACCGCCCAGATATTGTTATTAAAGACCACAAACAAAAAACGGTGCCTCCTTATTGATATGGCAGTCCCTGCTGACTGCAATGTATCTTTGAAGATATTCAAAAAGTTGTCAAAATACAAGGACCTTGAAATAGAAATCGCGAAAATGTGGCATATGGGGACATCAACAATCCCTGTTGTAGTTGGAGCCCTAGGACTGGTTGGAAAAGATTGCAGTAGACTAATTGAAGGGATTCTTGGAAGTCCATGCCTCAAGGAGATACAGAAAATTGTTCTGACAAGTACAGCCCACACCTTTACGAAGGGCTTTATCTATGTAATTTTTTTCTTTTTTTTTTTTTTTTTTCAGTGGAAAGTGTCATGACGCCATTTCTAACTTTAAGTCCCTGGGCGGGACCCGGAAAGAAATGTTGTACACACCAGAAATCAAAGGAAATAATAATAATAATAATAATAATAATAATAATAATTACTTTGCTTGGACTAAACAAGCTGGTGTAGATTGACCCTGTATCCATCAGTAGTTATGCAGTGCAGGTTTAAAAGCTGAACATTAAAGTTTTCTTCTTGCTGCATCGGATCAATGATTGTTAACAAGAAATTAACAAGCACACATACTGAAAAAATCGTGTTGACCACAAATGCAGATTCTGTGATAAATATCCAGAAACAACTGATCATCTTGTATCAGGCTGCACGGTTGTTAGCACCCACTGAATATAAAACTAGGAATGATAGATTGGACCAATATCTGTACTGGAAAATATGCCACTTTTACGTTAGAGAACCTGTAAGAAACTGGTATGACAATCACCCAGGCCTGTTTACAGAGGTTAGGACGTCTAGCAGTTTTATGGGAATTTACAATACACACACAGACAGAACAATCAAATCTAATCCCCCAGATATCATAATCAGGGAACACGAAAACAAGATTTTTTTTCCTATTGACATGGCATTGTAATGTATGTTTGAAGATATTTAAAAACTATCAAAATGCAAGAATCTTGAAGTAGAAATCTAAAAAATGTGTAACATGAAGACATCAATATTTCCAGTTGTAGTTGGAGCACTCGGATTGATTGGAAAAGATTCCGATGCTAGTTCATGTCTTAAAGAAATACAAAAAATTGTACTTACAAGTACAGTTCACAGATTACAAAGAGTTTTATGTATGTAAAACGTGCATGTTCTTTTTTTTTTTTTTTTACGAAAATGATCAGTGATGATCATGATTTCTGACCTTAGGTCGCTGATTGGGACCCGGAAGGAAATGTGTCTTCAATAGAAATAAATTGAAGAAAGAAATAATAATAATAATAATAATAATAATAATAATAATAATGTAAACATGTCTATTGTTAGATGTCGTAAAGCGCATCCTATAAAGACACATCTTTGAAAATGTTTGAGAAACTACGTAAATCTACGACCTCTAGATAGAAATCAGTAGAAAATGGCATCACCAAACATAAAACATTACCTGTTGTTATTGGGAATCTGGGAAGGATATGAAAAGGAGGAAATAAATATCGGGATCAAATACTTGGAAGCCCTAAAATATAGGAGAACTGATCACATCTCGCAAAGCAGTGATCACTATTCTCCTTAATTGTATGCCATCTCAGAGACAACTTGCACAACAAAAGACAAAGGCAAAATGTAGCAGTAGTAGTAGCAGTAGTAGTAGTAGTAGTAGTACTACTACTACTACAAATAATAATAATAATAATAGAGAAGAGTAGATTGAGCAATATGGTCAAGAAGAAGAAGAAGAAGAAAAAAAAAAAATTGGTTTGATCTTAAAAGAAGAAGAAGAAAAGGAGAAATTAAGGGAAAGAAGAAGAAGAAGACGAAGAAGAAGAAGGAGGAAGAAAAGAAAGAAGAAGAAATCTTGAAAATTCATCAAAGGCAAAAAAAAAAAGAAGGTTGATGAATTGGTTGGAAAAGAATATGGAAGAAGGAGGAGGAGGAGAAGAAGAAGAAGAAGTAAGAGAAGAAGGAGGAGGAGAAGAAGGAGACAAAAAAAGAAGAATAGGTTGAGAAATACGGAAGAAAAAGAAACAAAAGAAGAAGAAGAAGAAGAAGAAGAAGAAGAATTTTGCAAAAAAAAAAGAAGAAAGGTTATCCTGATAAGAAGAAGAAGAAGAAGGAGGAGGAGGAGAAGAAGAAGAAGAAGAAGGGGGAGGAGAAGAAGGAGGAGGAGAAGGGGAAGAAGAAGACAAAAAAAGAAGAATAGGTTGAGAAATATGGAAGAAGAAGAAGAAAAAGAAGGAGGAGAAGAAGAAGAAGACGAAGAAGAAGAAGAAGAAGAGGAAGAGGAAGAGGGAGAAGAAAAAGAGTAGAATGTATTCGCCAGTCTCTTGATGGTTCTTGAACGGACTTTGAAGATGGAAGCCAAAATATGAATGTTGGTACCAATACTGAAGGCCTAAATGATCCTTTTTCGTTTCACAGTTGCTGAGTTGGGTCTGACACAAAACGATTTTAACCTGTTCTCTTTCTAGCTGAATAACACAAAGTGTTTTTTTTTCCGTAATTCTTACAATAAATGATGTCAAGATGGCCCAATAAGTTCAGTTGTCAACTCATACGTCTGCTAGAAGTGTTTGTCACCGCTCGGGTACTTTAACGTACCCCAGTTTCTTAGTTACTATATTAAAAACCAATAAGTAATTCGTCTAAAAATAAAACATTTTTCCCAAAATAACTGGCGTGGAAGGGTTTAAATGAAAAGTGAATGTGTATATAAATTGTAGTACCAAAGAATTAGTTGTTGATTCATTGGTTACTTTTTATTTTGTGACATATCAACACCTATTTAATATCGAAATCTAAATATTTTATAAGCAATTATTTTTATATTTTGGAAATAATAATGGTTTTACTTATACAAGTGTTACTAATTAACCCATAGTTGGGGAAGAAGAGATGGATTTATACCATCCCCACGAGTATTTGCGTTAATATAATAGGACTCAGTTCTTGGATTAACAATTCCGAGCCATTATCCATTTTACAACCCGTAGTCCAAGGTACTGACCAGGATTGACGTTGCTTAACTTCGCTGATCGTACGAGAACCGGCCCTCCAACGTGATCTGACCGTAAACCAAAAAAATTAGAGACAGTTTCCTAACATTTTGTGCTACCTCCCTTAACCTGAATAATGTCGGCTACGCGACGTGTCATTTATAACACTACGATTAATGCTGATAACGTCAAAAAAAAATTCATGCATATTCAGGTTTGTCGATGCTTGTGCCATACTTGTTGGGTATGTCACAAGAGAATTTAGTGCGTACTAGGGCATGTCCTATACATATACTCAATGGGGTATAAATCTGATGAGCACGGGCCAAATGATGTAAACTGAGTATTTTGGGAGATAGTCTCGCGTCATACTACAAAATGAAGGGAAGCTCAATGTAGTGTTTACTATAAGACTTGTCTCGCTGGAACAATTACGACTGAGTACTGAGTTCGATCCTCAGTGGATGCCCCGTATTTCGGCCCTGTGCCACATCTAAGCTATGCTTAGAAAATCAGCATGTAACAAGTGAAGACGATATCTGAATAAGCCATCACCCCCGGATAGCACAAATGCGTGCAAATGATTTGGAATAAGATCTATATTATTTATATTATTCGGACTATTGTCCTCATCTTTCTCGCCATATTCACTACAACGTTTTGCACATGACACAGTGGATAAAGGTGTTATTAAATCCAGTGACAGGACTCAAAAGAAATGAGTTCAATACCCGGTTAAAAAGTGGAGAAATTTCAGAGGGAATTAACAGGAGATAACTGATAACATCCATTAAAACATGGCTTCATTGAACTAAATGCAGTCTTTCTCTATCGAGCGAAATAAAGGGTTCAGTTCGACATTCCAACTACCTAAAGAAGGCCGGAGCGTACAACGGCCGAAACGTTGTAATAAATATGGCGACAAAGATGAGGATAACAGTCCGAATAATGTAAATAGTGTCCATAATACCTCATCTCAGAAAGATAGACAGATAATAAGATCTATGTAGGTTTGATTTGTTTTGTTTCACTGCATACCAATCACAATGGGTTATTTAATATGGACAAAGTTTTATTACTGGTAATATTTTTTTTTTCAAAATGTATTGCTGGTAATATTTTTTTTTAAAAAATAAATTGCTGGTAATATTTTTTTTTTCAAAATTTATTGCTGGTAATAATATTTTACAAAAATGTATTGCTGGTATCAAAACCTATTTTTACATTTTTCACCCCAATCTTGGGTTAACTATTTTTTCTTAAATGTGGCCTAACAGGTGGTAACATCCCATCGAAGGTGGACCTTCAAACATCATAATTAAAATTGGTTATTGAACCTCAAATCCTTTTGATCAAATATTGCTGGTTGGATGTAGTTTATCGTCTTACCCAGGACGGATCCATGTAGGAAAGATATCTGTCAAGACAGATATACATATCACTAGGAGACAGTGTAATTTCAAAAGAATACACCCCTGAACGTTATGGACACACCACCTGTGTGTGCATCACTTTGTCTTGTCGTTGTCTTGAAACTGTCTTGTTTCATTGGTTGCAATTTCCTGGATATGAACTCAATTAACTACCTGAAATAGCTGGAAATCTGACTCGCTGAGGAGATGATACTGCGACAGTCACCTATCGTCCAATGAGGATTTTCTCTAACTCAAGTTAGTTTTATTTGAAAAAGTGTTTCCTGTTGCTTATAAAGTATTTCCATTCTGTTTCAGACCCAGTAACCACTTGCGTCTTAGTGATATTACCATCTTGCTTGGGAGTGAATTAAGCAAAAAAAAAAAAAACAAAAACATAGTTCTTTCAAAGATTGTGGCCGGTGCTACACAAGACTTCACCACTGTAATCAAATCATATGTGTGGACAATCTAACTGTTCAGTGCTAAAACTGAACTGTTAGAATCTCATACGTTAAAATCGACGATGAGATTTCAACAGAATCACCCACACATAATAATATTTTACAAAGGCCAGGAGATTTTGTTCAAGCATGAAACAGACTATCGTCATTTATATATATATATATATATATATATATATATATATATATATATATATATATATATATTAAATATTTATATTTAAATATATAAATATATTTTAAATTATTGTTAAACTACATAAAAAAATTAAAAAACGATTGCATCTAAAATGAAACAGACTGTCGCCTCGAAGTGGTTTTATACTTCTATGTTCACCATTAAAATATATATATATATATATATATATATATATATATATATATATATATAAAAAAACTCATTGCATTTAGATAGTTGTTTTTTTAAAGATTTTTTTATGGTGGGATTTGGAACTTAAACATTTGACAGTTTTAAATACTGTTTTAAAAGTTTTTTGTTTCTTTCTTTTTAAATTCCTATTTTTTAAAGGTATCAATTTCTGTTTTTACTTGAATTTGACCCTATCAAGGTTTTCCAAAAATAACTACCATTTATATATATTATATATATATATATATATATATATATATATATATATATATATATATATATATATTCACACATATTACACACACACACACATATATATATATATATATATATATATTTTTCATTTTCTACATTATTTGAAAAATGACGATCGTATAATATCCTTTAAACATGTAATTAGTGTATTTTCTTTTTCCTTCAGGTCTGTCATTTCAACTTGCAGTGTCGTAGAAATATTGGAATGTATCTCTTAGCTTGCATTAGTGACTCAAGTACAGTCAAAATGTTACATTCCAGATAAAAGCATTTGGCTTTATATATATATATATATCTATATATATATATATATATATATATATATATATATATATATATATATATATATATACTATATATATGCATATCTCCCAGTATATATAAAACAAAAGTATATTCTTATATATATATTTATGTGTGTGTGTGTGTTGTGTGTGTGTAAGTGCGTCAAAGTAATCATTTTATATTTGGCGTGTGTGTGACAAACAGAAACTGAAAGACAGAGAGACAGAAAAAATGAAAGTTAACAGGCTGTAATATAAAAATATATGAATATTAATATGTTAAAATAGATATAATATGAAGATACTGTAATAGATAAACAGTATCTGAGAGGGATTCCAAACATTAGATGGCAACTCACTGGAGTTTTTCTTCCAAAATATCTCCAGATAGATAGAATAGATAGGTAGATATATAGATTGATAGACATAGATACACAAAACAAATTGAAATATATATATATATATATATTAATAGAGTATAAGAAACTATACTCGCTCGGAAAACCTTCGGTGTATTGATTTGCAAATAAACAAGCCAATACCAAAGGGAAAAAATGTATAAAAAAAGAAAGAACCAAGAACATGTACGTTAACCGACAATAATCGTCCAGCATACGAACAAAGGCCATAAAAAAAAAAAAACCGATGCTTACCCAAAATAACTATATATATATATATATATATATATATATATATATATATATATATATAATGTCTTTATTATGATAATTACAATAAAAACATTTTTCACATCGCTACACAAAATCTTTCATGTTTCAATACTAAGATGATGGTCCTTCTTCAGACGATGGTACATAACTAGTGATAAAATGATTTATTAGGAAAATTTAAAAAACAAATCTTTATCTCTTTTCTTAACTTAAAGAGGGTGCATAAGGTGAGAATTAAAAATATACTTATGAGTATCTCTTGATTAACCAATGAACGTCTGGTCTAAGCTAAAATTTTAAAATAAAGTCAGAGGTTGGATGAGGGTGGGTTATTATTACATATCAATAAAACTGATGCATAGACATGTCATTTAACGATACTAGAGAACAATTTTAGCGACAAATGTATTATTGGTGTATCCAAGTATGATTTTCCGATATGTTTACCGTGTGCGACTACATCTTGTTGCCCAAGAGAATAAGTAAAGAAGAGATAAGGACAAAGAATGGCATTGTCTATTTATAGACTTAAGGAGAATCCCCTAATTACATTATTTAGTAAAGTTAAGTTTCTCTCTAACAAATGTGTTCTCTCTTTTCTCTCTTTCTCTCTCTCTCTCTATATATATATATATATATATATATATATATATATATATATATATATATATATCTTTTAGTATATGTCTGATTGAGTAAATTAATATACAGTACACAAAAAAAATTCGTATTTTTATTTTTATAAATGTAAAAGCCTTAACTAAAACAAATTTTGATACATTTTATGTGTAAAGATACATTTTATTAAAAAATAGTAATAAACTTAATTCTTATTCTAACAGAAATTAATGCATTTTTTCATTTTAACTGATGAAAAAAAGTATTCGTACAAAAAAAAAAAAGGCATATTAACTTAATTTAATACTTTGTGGAATATCCTTTATTGAGTTCAACAGCTACCAGTCTATTCCTGTACGTCTCAACTAATGATTTGCACATTGAGTGGTATTTTGTCCCATTCTTCTTGGCATATTGTCTTCAAATTCTTGATACTTGTTGGTGCTCTTTTCCCAATTTGAATTTTCATATATCGCCATAAATTCTCGATTGGGTTCAAGTCTGAGGGACTGACTTGGCCATTGCAAGATATCAACGCTACTTTCAGCTAACCATTTCCTTGTAGATCTAGCGGTATGCTTAGGATCGTTATCCATTTGGAAAACCCAATCAGGAGGTAGCCGAAGTCTCTCAACAGAACGTATTAAATTGTATTGCAGGATTTTCTGGTATCTTTCGGCATTCATCTTGCCATCTATTATTGATAATCTGTCAACACCTTTTGCAGAAAAACAGCCCCAGATCATGATACTGCCACCACCAAACTTTACAGTTGGCAACGTATTCTTTGGTAAGTAGGCTTCACCGTCCTTCCTCCACACATGATTTCGATAATTATGATCAAACAACTCTATTTTAGTTTCATCTGTCCATAGTACTTTTTCCCAAAACGAATATTCTTTATCCTTATGCTCTCTAACGAATTTTAGCCTAGCATCTCTGTGTCGTTTCAAGAGGAGTGGAGTCTTCCTTGGGATGCGTGATTTCAGACTGTTTTTGTGTAGTTCATTACTTATTGTACGCTTGGTTACTTTAATCCCTAATGCACAGATGTTCCTGCAGCTCTTCTCCGGGTAACCTGTGGATTTTTTGGATCTGGCGTCCTAATATCCTTGCTGATCTTAGAAAATCTTCCTCGGAGCACCTGTTCTCTTTGGTTTTCGACGCTGTTACGAGTTTTAAACCTTGCAATGAACGAAGCAATTGTAGTAAAAGAAATATTCAGGTTGTTAGAAATCGTTCTGTAACTGTTCCCATCTTTCCAAAGAGACAAAATGTGTTGTTTTTTTGTGAAATAGTCAATTCTTTACCTTTAGGCATTATTAGAACCTTCTCGTAAGACTAGAAATTGCAGAATGCTCTGATAATGGCTAATAGCGTTAACTATAATTACTGATAACATTACTGGAACATTCTAGAATATACTTTTTTCATAATTAATTGATTATTTTATTCTAATAATTGATTTGTACAAATACTTTTTTCACCAGTTAGAATTTAAAAAATGCATTAATTTCTGTTAGAATAAGAATTAATTAAGTTTATTATTATTTTTTAATAGTATGTGTCTTTATATATAAAATGTGCCGAGATTTGTTTTATTTAAGGCTTTTACATTTATAAAAATACAATTTTTCAAGTGTACGAATATTTATTTCATCAATTTTTTAATCAAAACAAAGATACAAAAGAATGGAAATTCTACGGTGCTTTTTTGTCAAAACTTCTGATGCTCCAACAGAAAGCAGCCATCATGTCAACATCCCATCTGAGATCCTGATGAAACCTCACCCCTGCACTTTGCATGCCAAAAAGCGAACATATCGCTTTTCAATTGTATTAATAAGCAGCAGGTCTCAAACTGCCCTGTATAAATTTTTTGGTCAGACAAGATGCTGTTGGTGTTGGGGATGGGTAAAAAAAGTGTTTAGTTGGCTACGCCTATCTGGTGTTTGGCGGCTATTTTAAACGATGATAAAGAAAAAATTCAAATCTTGCTAGTCTCAAATACACACGACTAACAACCCTCATTTATCAATGTTCCTATTTGTTATACAGAGACTGTTGACAATACCAGACCTCCGTAAATTCAAATATATTTGTTATGACGGTTTCAGGCTTAAAATGAAAATACTAATAAAAACTAAAATTGTTGTTCTTAAATTTCTTTTTTTCTATAAAAAGACGGAAACACAAATCATAAAGTTTTAACAAGCTAAGAACATAAAGGGCAAAGGATATTTTCCAGTGAGATATCTCTTATAAAATCAAGCATTTTCAGGTCAGGCGTATCTGAACTGAAACAAAGAAATCATTTTGAAAGTCATTTGGATAATTTTTGTTGTATAATAAATCATTTTAACGAAATATTTCAAATACGTCACTCGTATATTTAAATATATATATCCCCTAAATTAGACATTTTGACCTATTTTAAGAAAAATAGAAATTATCTGTTCTGAGAAAAAAATGATGTGAAGGGACAAAATGGACTTGATTTTCAGATTCAGCATGAAAAAAAATAGCCTTTCATGTGCCCATTGTTTGACAATTATTTGCGTCAAAACAAAATATCAACCCATTATCTATCTATCTATCTATCTATCTATCACAATGTGTTCCTATGTATCTCCTACAGACTATACCTACTTATTTTAATCTATCTATCACAATGTGTTCATATCTATCTTTATGTCACAGAGACTGTGTGCAAACTTTCTATCTATTTTAATGTTTCTATCACAGTTTGTTCATATCTATCTATCTTAGTCTGTTTCTATCTTTATCTATCTATCTATCTATCTATCTATCTATCTATCTTTTTCTATTCTATCCCTATTATCTATCTATCTATCATCTATCTCTATCTATCTATCTATCTTAGTCTGTTTCTATCCTCTATCTATCTATCTATCCCATCTATCTATCTTCTATCTTAGTCTGTTTCTTCCTCTATCTATTCTTAGTTAAGTTTCTATTATCAATCTACCTATCACTGTTTGTTCACATCTATCTCTATCTATCTATCTATCTATCTATCTATCATCTATCTATCTCGGTCTTTCCTATCTATCTATCTATCTATCTATCTATCTATCTATTTATCTATCTATCACAGTCTGTTTCTATTTATCTGCCTATTCTATCTTTATGTTTCTTTCTATAAATCTATCAACCTGTTCACATCTATCTATCTATCTATCTATCTAAATATCTATCTATCTATCTATCTATCTATCTATCTATCACAGTCTAACATTTATCTGCCTATTCTATCTATATTAGTCTGTTTCCAAAATAAATCTATCACAACCTGTTCACATCTATCTTCTATCTATCTATCATCTCTATCTATCTATCTATCTATTATCATCTCTGTTCCTATCTATCTATCAGATTTTATCTATCTATCTATCTATCTATCTATCTATCTATCTATCATGTCTTAAAATCTGCCTGGACGATCTATATTAGTCTGTTTCTTTCTAAAAATCTATCACAACCTGTTCACATCTATCTATCTATCTCTCTCTTATCTATCTATCTATCTATCTATCTCTATCTATCTATCTATCTATCTATCTATCTATTTATCTATCTACGTTTCTGCCATTTTTTCTCAAGTTTCTTCTTTCTTCGTTTAATTTAACCTTAAAAAAAAATTTCTTTCATAATTTTCCTAAGTTCCTATTTGTTCGCCAAATCTGAGAATGTCAACGCCATTGAAATAGGCGAAATGCGAATCTCCGGCAAATCGAACATGACGATCGATGCCAGCCCGCCATCATCTTCCACTCCCATCGCCCTTTTAACTCACAATAATAAAACAAAACTTAACCCCCATAAAAAAAAAAAAACAGAACAAAAACAAAACGATATAAAAATTTTTAAATGGCAGAATTAGAAATAAAATTTCAAAGAGGAAGAAAAATTGAATAAAATTCTCAAAAAAAGACAGCAAAAAAACAAAAACGAAAAAAAAAATCAAATTTTTCATATCTGTTATATATCGATGGAACACTTGAATTTTCGTTAATGAGGATATAAAACTGCGACGCATATTTATTTTATTGCTTTCTTTAATCATCTTTCTGGGGAAAAGTAATGCTAATGATAAATATTATTGGCTATAAAATTGTATACGACAGCTATAAGAACATTATTATTAGTAGTAGTAGTATTATTATTTTATTATTATTATTGTACGAATTAGCATAGGACCCGTTCGCCAAAAATGGCTGGATTATTTACGTAGATAATTCCATTGGCATTTCTGCTTAAAACGAGAGTATTTTTTTTATATTTCGGATCAAAATATCACTTTTAATATATGATCAGTGTTCTTTATCTGTAGATTCTATGAAAAATCACACACACACACACATACTGTTATTCTCTCTCTCTCTTCACAAGTACCCACTGTCATTCTTTTTCTCTCTCACACACACAACCCACTGTCATTCTCTCTCTCTATTTTCACACATATACATTTTAGATCATATTCGATATTTTCTATTCAATTACTCTCTTAATCTCTCAACAGACGAACACTCTCATTCTCTTTCTCTCTCAATCTCTCTCACACACAAAACGGATACGCACTGTCAATTTGATGATCTACGTACAACGGGTATAAATTAGTTGAGAGAAGAATGGTTAATTAAATATATATATAAATACGAAAAGAATTTTTTATGAAAAAAAAGGTGAAAAGGGTGAAAAAAGAAAAGGATGAAAAGATTTTGAAGAAAAGGTGAAACGTTTTTTAAAAAAAAAAAGAAATTGACAAAAGGGTGAAAAAGAAAAAATGAAAAAAAAAGGGTGAAAAGAAAAATAAAAAAGGGTTAAAGAAAAGGGTGAAAAAAAAAAAGGTGACGAAGGAAAGGGAAAAAAAAAAAAGAAAGGGTGAAAAAGCCGTTTTGTTATTTTATTGTAATTTTAACTCATTGATGTTTTAATGTAATTTTTTTTCGTTTGGTGAATGAGATGCAATTTATATAAAATAGTAGATACTAAAATAACTATATATATATATATATATATATATATATATATATATATATATATATATCAAATTTTCTTTTTCATCCTTTTTTTTTTCACCCTTTTGTTCGTTATTGTCTTTTTTCTTTTCAAAAAAAATCCTTTTAGATTTTTTTTTTTTTCAAATATTTTTTTTTTAGTATATATATATATATATATATATATATATATATGAAATTAACATATTTTATATATTTATTACTCATTAATACGTTCATTTCGATTTGCCTTGAAAAAGTAACATTGGACGAAACGCGTCGGCAACTTTACTGTTTCCCTATTGTCTTCCTACATTTATAAATATTGTCTTTTCTACATATATGAGAAATTTCACTATATATATATATATATATATATATATATATATATATATATATATGCGCTGTGTTTTATGGATATCCACAACATCCCATCCTTTGTATCTGTTAGCAAACATTTGCCTTTTTTACTCTCTTTTCCATTCACTTCTATTCATTTACACGAGCTGATTAGGTAGGTTACTCGTTGTTTTTTTTTTTTTTCTTATCTTCAGTATGTCCTGTGAGTGTCAAAATTTTTAAACCCTTCTTTTCCCTCATTATGTATCCTATAAATAATCAACTTTCCCTTTCTGAATGTAAGTACAATTGCTCTTTTTTTTTTACATTTTTAAAACATCCTTGTAGCTACATACTGTGGGCATATTTATTCTCAACATCCTCCTGTAAACCATGAAGAATTTCAAGTCTCATCTTCATCTGTGAGGAAATTGAATTGACCTTTTTTGACATAGGAGGATTAACATTACATATCAAAAGCATATATATATATATATATATATATATATATATATATATATATATATATATATATGAAGAATGAACAGTAAGATATATAATCCCATCTGTCTATATTTCTGATGAGGTATATTATGTACATTTTTTTACATTATTCGGACTATTGTCCTCATCTTTGTCGCCATATTTATTACAACGTTTCGGCCGTTGTATGCTCCGGCCTTCTTCAGGTGGTTGGAATGTCGAACTGAACCCTTTATTTCACTCACTGGGGTAGACTGTTCTAATTCCATGCCATGTTTGATGGATGTCAGTTATCAGTTATCTCTGTTAATTTTCCTCTGAAAGTTCTCCACTGCCTTAACCGGGTATTGAACTCACAACCTGTCACTGGATCTAACCAACGCCTTTATCCACTGTGCCATGTGTCCTATGACATCTGGCTATGAATTTTTGGGTATTATAAACCCTAATGTTTTCAGCAACCATTTTTTACCAGTGCTCATATTGCAATTTTTGCTGTTATCATTTTATGTTTTTACCAGAGCTCATATTGCAATTTTTGTTGTTATTATTGCTTTTCTCTGGCATTCCTTATTACTGGTTCCCATATTGTATTTATTTCTATGCTTGATCGGCTCAGGAGATTTTTGTGGCCTAGCATATGTGCTGATTCCTTAAGTTTACGAATTTTCCAATGGTGTTCCTTGTCTATGATCTCAACATGATCCCACAGAGGGCGGTGATCTCCTTTCTCTCTCCATATGTGGTCAGCCACGCCTGATTTTTCCACTTCCCCTCGTGTTACAGCTTTCTGGTGTTCTTGAAGCCTTACCTTGAGGGGGCGGCCTGTCTCTCCTTTATATTTCTTTCCGCAGCTGCACGGGATAGCGTACACACAGTCTTTAGTCATGTTCTCCTCTATGGGGGGGGTCTTACTCGGGAGAGATATCTGCGAAGTGTCGTCAAGCTTTTGAAGGTTGTCCTGATGTTATATGGACCGCAGATCCTTTGTATTTTCTCTGATAACCCCTTCACATAAGGCAGGCAGACTGTTTTTTTCTGAGTGTTGTTGTCCTCCTCCTTTATACCCGCCTATCCCAGTTTTTTGGGGGCTGCTGCCATGTACCCAGGGTAGTTGTTACGTTGTAGGGTACTACTTTTACTGACCAATTCTTTATCTAACGTCTCTGGGTCGCCACTTATGACTTTTGCTCGGTGTTGTAAGCATCGGACGATCCCTTTCTTTACGCTGTATGGATAGTGGGCGTTGAAATTGAGGTACTGTCCGGTGAATGTCGGTTTACGGTATACGGATGTCTTAAACCCATGCTCTGTTCGAGATATTAGAACATCCAGGAATGGGAGTGTGTTGTTACTCTCTTTCTCCATTGTGAACTGTATCGAAGGTCTTATTGAGTTCACATGGTCCAGTAGAACCTGAACATCTTCCTGGTGTGGCCAGAGTATGAAGGTGTCATCTACGTATCTTAACCATAGAGTTGGCCTTAGAGATATAGATTCTAATGCCATTTCCTCAAAGTATTCCATGTATATATTCGCCATTGCTGGTGATAATGGCGAGCCCTTTGCTAAGCCCTCATCCTGTCAATATATGTGATCCCATTCCGTTGTTTGTGTACAGAAAGTCAATATCTCCATGAGATTATCTATTGGAATACTGGTCCGTTCTCCTAGGGATGATTCAGAGGCCAATCTGTCTCTAACTCCTGAGAGTGCCTCCACCGTGGGCACCTTGGTGAACAAACTTACCACGTCCAAGCTCAACATCTGGTTAGATACGATGGGGGCATCTTTGATTATTTCCACGAAGTGGGCGGAGTTTCGGACATATGAAGGAGACTTTCTGATCAATGGGTCAATTATATCTACAAGGAAGCGACTCAGAGGGTGGCACACAGAGCCTTGGCAACTAACAATCGGCCTGAAAAATGAATACCGTCTTTTGAATGAATCTTAGGGAGACCGTATATGTGAGGTAACTTGCTGTAACGCTGCGATAACTGCCTATACGTCTTAGGTGCAAAGTGATCCTTGTTCTTGATTAGGATCTGTGACAGTTTGCGTTCCGTTTTCATTGTAGGATCCTTTTCACTTTGCTGTAGCTACCATTGCTAATGAGGTCTTCCAGCTTTCTTGTATAATCTCATTTGTCCATCACTACAGTTGCATTGCCTTTGTCAGCCGGTAGTATGATGATGTTTTTTCATTCCTCTGTAGTGATTCAATCCAAAAAAAAACAGTTTTTTTGTTATGTTTGACCTGGGCAGCTTGGCCTTCTCAAGGTCTGTCTCATTTTCCATCTCAGTTCATCCGCCTGAGCCTGAGGGAAAGTTCAAAGGCCACCTCCTCGATTCTGGCAATGATGTCCAAGTATGGCACCCGCCTGATGGTTGTGGCAAAGTTGAGACCTCTTATTCAATACTGACTCCTCAGAGGCACTCAGCTGATATTGGCTGATGTTGATTACTGCTTTCACTGGTGGGTGATGGACCTTGTGCGTCACCTTCTGATCTTTCAATCTTTTTAATTTTGTACTTGAACGAGCCTTGATTACATGGAAAAATGTCAAAGGATTTATCCAGGTCATTTTGATCCTTTCTCTGGTCTTCTTCATTGGTAATTTGTTGAAGAAAAAATTAATTTAAAAATAGATATGAGCTTGTAGTCTCTGTTTTATCCAATTATTCTACTGGATTCTCTCTTTTTTCATAAAAAGGGTGTCCCTGCTTTTTCTGCAACCAGACGGGCTCTCCTTGAATTGGCAGGAAGTCTTGGTGCCAAACCTGAAGGGATGAACTGTAGATCT